TCACTGCCCATGTCTCGCGGAGAATAACATACCTTCAAGACAAGACAGGTGCACGAGTGAAGTTCTTCGTTAAAACTCCAACTTTCCTCTATGATCCCTTTATACCAGATAGAGACTAGGCTCTGGATGACTTTGCCGCCAAAGGCCTACGTGCAACAAACTTAACATATCTGACCGAGTACAGGTTCTTCTTCAAGCCTATGGTGTGGATTCATGAACACCTTTTCTTTAGTTTCTTGGGCGCGAGGTCGTTATGGGAACTTTTCTCCAATGTGACTGTTCTCTTATAACACTCCATACACACCCGCTTGTTAGTATGCCTGGAAAGAAAACATACCTCGTATGTACCGGGTCCTAAAACCGTCATGCGTTCAAGCACCTCTGCTTCCCCGGGTTCGTGCTCCCGATCTCATTGTCTGTCTCTTGCGTGACTTGAGGCCATAAAAACAGTTAATATGAGCAATTCACAGTATAGTTTGGCCACGAACATAACTTTTCATCAGATCCGCATGTCACATTAGCAAGCACGTAATGATTGATGTGTTGTATTTGAGAATGGATTTATAAATGATTATTTTATTAAAATTTCTATTTAAAAAATCAGAATTGGAGCAGGAAAAGCTAAAACATATTTGTGGCTGACTTTACTGTTATCTATATTTCGTGGAGACAATGCTGGTAGTTGGTCGCACCGCTCTTTCTAATTATATACATTTGATATAAAAACCCCAAACAAAAACCCTTTTCTACAACAACTCACTCGTAATTGTGGGGATGCGGATTTCCTTTTGGTTAGCTTTGTCTCCTGGAAACAGGTTTATATTTAACTCGACCTCATTTGCATAAGGCCTAACCCCGTATTCACATGTAAATTAGTTTAGTGCGCACACACGGCAGGGCGCACCCATGTTTCGCGCGCTTAGCACTTCGCCATTTTCTCCAGCACAACTGGACGTTGAATTTGTTGTGTCTTTGTGGCCAGTTTGTCGGCACACAACTGTTTGAAATGTAAGGCAACCCTATTCTGGCCTGTCTCCAGAACCTGTGGAAATTGATTTTCATTTTATTTTGTGTGTGACTTTTCGGGAGAGTTGTATAGTTTTACCTAAAACTTTGGGAAATCCGATGGCGTGGCATTGTCATAGACACCGCTGTGTGTATATACCTTGGTGTACTGTATTTTTCATGGACAGCATGTGCGCACGATACCTGTACTGGGTTTGACGGCCACCTTTGCTGTTTGCGCACACCTTTTTCAATAACTATGGGGTTTCCTTATTTATCTCTGTTAATTACAGGCAGAATGTACTTGTAGGAGTTATCCGGTCCCTGCACCTGGGGATTTTCCTTGGGATTTTTCCTTACGATTTTATGAGGTTTCTCCTTGGATTAATTTCAACCTTCTCATCATAATTCTACTTCATGACTGTGATTTTTATGATTCCACCTTGAATTCGCCTTGACTGCTGAATAAATTCGTGTGTGAGGCAACTAACCAAGTTTTCCTCCGATTGACTGAATCATTGCCTTGTCGACTCGTACATTCACCCCAATCAATTTTTGGGGTCAATCCTGCTGGTTTTGACACCGCGGCCCCATTTCACAGCAGAATTTTGGTGTCCTAGACAGGATGGAGTGTACGATGACCCACCACTTCCAGACACAGTTTACATAATATTCCCTTCATCGTGCTCAACATCCTCGGGTACAGTTGTCCAGTCCTACCAGTTCAGTTGAGATGAGTCATCTCGGAGGTGTCAAGATCCAGGGTTAGTTCTACTTCAAATCTATTGAGGAGACAGCTGAGTTGACTCTGCACATCGCTTGTTGCAGTCAGTGTTTTCCATGTTTATTTCTAACTGTGTGTTGAGGTTTTATTGTGCATTGGCTCCCTTTCATTCTTTCCAATGTGCACTACTTACATTTAAATTAAGACAGATTGTAGCTCTTTTTGCATAGCCACTGGTTACGAAGGATGGATATTGGTTACCATTCTTCCATGTTTAATATTCTGTCATCATATTGTGCGCTCACTTTTTTGGGGGGATTACCGAAATTTTGGGCAGTCCAACTAGCACCTCCCGTATGGCATACTTGTACATGAAGGTTGTTATCCATTACACATGTAGCTAACAGTCCTGGGGAGTGTGATTGCCTATATTTTATGTAGTGTAGCTTAGGTATTAGCCCATTTAAGAGTGTTTACTGCTGGTTAGGTGTGGCAGCACTAAGATCGCAACCATTTCTATGCCTGAAATATTGGCGGAAGCCATTTCCAAATCGAATCAGGCATTGGCCGAGTCTTAAGCCAATGCATTTTCGAAGTTACGGTACCAGAGGGCTCCAACGGTTAAGCTTTTTTAAGCTTTTCAGCTAAATTTAGTGGGCCTCCATGTAAGTCATGAAACCCGTCTCTCAAGGAATGGCTAGATTACGTAGAAACCTACGCACGGCAGTTAGGTATTACTGATAAACAAAAAGTGGCTGCCATAATGAACCACCATGGTTCTGCGAGGGAAGAAGTTCTGTGTTGCCCTTTCAGTGAGAGAACCGATTTCACCAAGCTTCGTAAACTTTTGCGGTCCCGATTTGGCCCACCAGAAACAGTCCAATCTTTAAATCATAGTTTCTACTTGAGAGAGCAGCTGGAGGGCGAAAGCCTTGCCAATTTCAGTTGCTCTATCATGCGGTTTTATTGTCGAATGGAGCCTGCCGCAGCCGACCCTAATTAAAAGGCGGCTTTAAACCAGCTGAAACAGGGGGCCCTGAAAGAGCAGTTTATCATAGGCACTACAGATCCGTCTGTCCGCCGGGAAATAAGGTGGCTTGTTATAGACCACCCTACGATGTCCTTCTTTGAGATACGCAATCTTGCTCTAAAGTTGCATCGTGATGATGATGGGTTGGGTACCCCTGCAAATAAATCTCCATCTGATTTTTTTCCATACAGTAGCGTTGTCCCCAGTCAGATTCAAGAGGTAAAGAAACTTCTGCAGGACCGACTAGATAGGAACATTATCAGGGAGTCTAGTAGTCCCTACGCCCGCCCTATGGTCTTGGTCCGGAAGAAGAGTGGGCAACTGTGTTTGTGCATCGATTACAAGCAATTAAATGCCAAAACATTGAAAGATGCATTTCCCCTCCCCAGGATAGTAGAGACTTTGGAATCACTCGGGGGTGCCCGCTTATTTTCTTCTCTGGACCTGGCCCATGGCTATTTTCCAGTAGCATTACACTCCTACACCATACCCAAAACTGCCTTCCATGCCCCGTGGGGATTATACGTTTTTCAGCGTATACCTCAAGGACTAACCAACAGTCCAAGTACGCCTACATTCCAGCGTGTGATGGAATTGATATTTGCTGACATGAATGTCAGAATTGGTACTGTACCTCGACGATTTGCTTGTGTTTTCATCCAACATGGGCGAACATCTGGACAAACTAGACAAAGTCTTCAGTAGGTTGACTGACAATGGGTTGAAACTCAATGGCTCCAAATGCCACTTGTTCAAAAGATCTGTATCTCATCAAGGCCACATTGTGAGTTATTAGGGAGTTTATGTGCATCCTGGTAAAATAGAGCATATCAGGGATTGGCCTGTTCCAACCACTGTTGAACGACTTCCGTCGTTCCTTGGACTTGCGTCCTGTAATAGGCGGTATGTCCGCGATTTCGCCAGGATTTCTGCCCCTTTGCATTCGCTAGAAGGTAAGGCTCTGTCAAAAGCAGGGAACCACAGGGGCTGATGAAGCTTTTACAGTTCTTAAGCAGGCGCTGTGCAGCGCTCCCGTTCTGGCGAACCCACGCTTTGACCGTGATTTTGTGGTTGAAATAGATGCGTCCGTAAAGGGCCTTGGTACATGCCTTTTGCAGTATGATGATAGTGGCCATTGGCCCCCTGTGGCTTATGCCAGTCGCAGTCTTAGGGTGCCGAGAGGGGTTGTTCTGATTTGTCCAGCTTCAGGTTGGAATTGCTAGCCCTTAAGTGGGCAATTTCTGAGAAATTTAAAGAGTATTTGTTGGGCAGGAGCACAACAGTGTGGACTGACAAGAACCCCCTCGCACACCTGCAGACTGCTATTAAACTGGGGACCACAGAGCTGCCTTGGGTTGCCCAATTAAGCTCTTTCAACCTCAAAATCAAGTGCATCAGGTTTGTGGACCTATAATTGCTGGATCAATTACAATTTGTGGGAGAACTTAAAGTTACTCCTTTTGCTTCGAGGACTTTGGTTATATATAGATTATGTAGTCTTCAGCGCTTTAGCTAAAATTATGTCCCAGACCGTTATCTTACATATCAGTTCGAAGTTCTGAATCATGCAGAAGATAGCCCCTACATATTTTTAAAATCATCACGCAGTTTACAAACTGACTGCTTTGCAGGTAAACTTTAATCTTTCATGCTTGCAGATTAAAATCATGTTGAAAAAATGAAACAGCAAGGAAAAGAAAGAAAAACCGAAAGGCCAGAAAATCTTAACATAGACCCTTCGTGGGCGGCGTTTTTTTGTAAATAAAGATATATTTACCGAAAGAAGAATTCTAAATAATGCATAAGCGTGAATGTGGTAAGGAAATGTATTTCTCTTCGTGCTTTAAAACACTCTCCAGGTATCATATACAACCCAAACGCTCACTGCAAGGAGGAGTCATTCTTCGTTTTTAAAATGCTTCGTTAAACACAACACTTCCTATAAATTAAAGAGCAACTGTCGATGTATAAACAAACAAACAAACACCCCAACAAACAAAATTGTTCAGTTTGAGAAGTAAGCTGGTTATGTCTTGTATTATGCTTCATTTCTACCGTGAGGGACCTGAAAGAAATCTTTAATGCGCTGTTGATCCGTTCAGTTCTCGGCTAAGAGAAAGGTTGGATCGATTTGGTTGGATCGAGACTTCGAAAATGTATGCTTTTTGCAATACAAGTCAAGAGGTCAAGATTTTATTTTGAGACAGCTGAGACTTTTGGGACATAATCTATTCCCCGAGCAATGGGAGGTAAAAGGGTTTAAACTAGGACCTGCCCATTCAATGTTCGCGAACTGTCATAAAAGGAAGCAAATGCCATTTTACTTGATATTCATTTCGGCGAAGAAACCACCACCACTCATATCTTGGAATAAGACGGAAAACTCTATTTGTTGTAAAGCTGAATACGCCGATGGCAAGAAATTAGCCAGGTCAGTGTCTCCTTTAGCAGGATTCATAAATCTCCTCGATGCTGCATCCTTCAGTGCAGCATTCGTGGTGCAAACCTCGCTTTTCGATACCACGTCCGAACAAGAATGTGTTGGCGTCCTTTGAATCCAGAAACTCTGCATCACAGGTGAGGAGAAAACAAAAGTGGCATGATGAAAATTAAAACTTTTCCTGATTTCAGTTTTCAGTTTCTGCAATCTCTGGAGAGAATGCGTCTTTATGGCAGCATCGGTTAAAGTACGTTGCTTTCACGTTCTTAGATTATGAAATCTCTTCTTTTGGAAAACCCTTCCTAAAAAAGTGCAGGGGCAGTTTCAATACTCAAATTCTATAAGCTTTGGGTTTTTTTTCTCGACAAAGGGTTAGTGAGATACAGAGGTGTAATCAGGCAAGAGGGAGAGCAAACGTTCCCACAGGGCCTAGTTGGCCCTTGCCTCGCTTGGCTACGCCACTGGTGAGAGAGAGTATATTTCAAGTTGATTTTGACTTCACTACCTTGGTTGGAGACTCCACGGACGGCATGGCAAGTCTCACGTACTTTCTCGTAAAGAGTCGCACCACAATAATTGGCACGGTAAGCCCTGCATAAAATATGTCCAAGATAGCCATTATAACACCTTCTGTAACGCAAAGGTTCTGTGGTTACCAATTTCATACACTGCTGAACAAAATGCACTCTACGGTTAACAAAATAGCAGCTAGCACCAGTCTGAACAAGGATTATGTCATTGTCTTACACGCTACATTGCACTAGGTTCAAGAGGCGCTGTGGCAATTTTGAAATGTATTTACGTTAAAGAAACTAAATCAATTCCTCAATGGTGAGTGGGTTGTGTAGCCAAGGGAACGTAGGGTCAAAGAGCAATTACATTTTAAACTGCTGAAACGATTATTAGTAATTTGTAGTGTCCTATGCTTTGCTATAATCCGACTTTANCTTGATTGTTAAAGCATTTCAGTAAACTAAAAAGGATATTACATAATTTAAAACCTTAAAAACATAATCTGTTTGCGGAATTGTCAAAAGTAGATAACAAACATTGATTACTTTTCCCAATCTCCTTTGGTGTCACATTTTTGAAGGGTATCTTTTATTCAAAGAAGCGAAATGTTCCATGGGAAATTTAGGGGTATGAGACCCATTTTGTTGAAAACCATTCGAACCCATTCAAAATAGAACAGCCAAAAAGACCAGTGAATGTAAACTTCTTGAAAAGACCTGAGAAGTTTATCTCAAGGGCTATCGTACGCTCTTCAATGAACCTCTGGGTTGAAAAATAAATTACCCCAAAAAAGCGAAGTAATTTTCTTATCAAATTCAAAATTGTCAAATTCGATTGCATATTCATTTTTAGGTGTTGCTTTTGATGTTATTGACAAAACAACATATCCGAGTGAACACATTTAAACTGTTTTCTATTTTTTGTTGATCACCACTGGCAATATAAGGCCATCGTGGTTAGGTAGATGATCCAGTTCTTGTTGGCATGAAGAGTGATAAAGGCAGAAACAGTCATTTGACAGTGCCTCGTGAACATGGATAGGGAAAGGGCCCACAAAACAGCGAGTCCATGAAGTGTATATGTAGGAATAATTGGGAGGATTTTTGTCGATTGTACCAAAAGGTATTTATTTACTTCATTCGTAAACCCGATAACAATAAAGCTTGTGGCCTTTGCTATATGTTCGGGTAATCATTAGATTCCCAAACCCATGCAGTCTTAAACATACAGTGTAGTTTTAAAAGTCCGGCCAAGCAAATATTTGTTCCCTTATTGATGTACGAAAGAGGTACGAATGTTTTTCTAAATATTTATTCTAAGAGATAACTTTACTTACAAATTCCCTCCATGTTTAGCATCTGCGTCCGGGTGGCCATTGATTTGTTGTACTATAAGAAAAGAACAGAAAAAAATATTAAAGGAAAACGAGGTAAAAGTAAAAAAATTGTTCTACCAGGCCAACGTTGAATTTGTATTAACGCAAACGCACCAACCTCATAACATACAATTTCCGGAAAAAAAATCTAAGAGAATTTCATTTGATTTTTCCCTGATATGGATATTTATTGTTCTGGTAAAATGTTTCGCTTATCCCTGAGGGATGCGCTTATGGTAGTGGCGTAGCTAGGATTTTACCAGTGGGGGACACAAGTATCTTTTGGGGCACTAGCTTTCAGTGATGTCGTTTTGGGGGCAAGCTTTTGTTAACCCTATTCAGTATCCATTTAACCTTTTTTTATATATTGGGGGGCACATGGGCGGCACGTGGAATTTGTGTGTGTGTGTGCTGGTGTGTGTGTGTGAGTTTGTTTCTGCATGCAATTGGGGACCCTGAACAATAGAGGACAATAAGGTCCCCGATTGACAGAGGGTCCCCGATTGACAACTGTGTACAAAACATATGGGTGGTCTTCTAAAAAAGTTAAGGTACGAACAATACAGGATCAATAGGGGGTCCCCAATTGCAGGCAAATACACACTTACGTGTGTGCGTGGGGGAGAACGTTCTCCCAGGTCCATCCCTGTGACTACGCGCCTGGTTTATGGATGGATAGACGGGTGAGTTAGTACCCCTTAAACTTTCTGATCCCCGCGACACCAAAACATGACGAATTCATCAACCAAAAACCGTGAAACAGAAAAAAATCAGAAATTTTCAGCTGGTTTCCCCAAAGAATTAGATCTATCTTGATGCATCAGTCATTTCCATTTTTGTATTCATTTTAGGCCTCATTACGTGTATTTGCCATGTTCGATTGAAGCTTGATTTTTTTGTTGCACGGTCAACAGCTTCTACAGCAAGAGTGATGGCCGGTCCATGTAGCTCCAGTCCTGCTAATATTCCACTGTGCGTTTATACAAAAACCAACGTCAAAACGTAGAGCCTTGTAGCACAAGTTTTGACGTTTTTCTTGCGGCTGGCACTTGATATTGTGTACCTGTATGCCAAACTAATTGAAGCAGCAACTCTCTAAGAAATACAATGTAAGCCTAATCGGTGGGAGAACTCTGAAGAGCATTACATTAGGAAGCGCTGTAACGGGAATTTACTGTCGCCTACGATCGTGGTATGATATTTAACATGCCCCTACATGCCGTGGATGTGACGGCATGAACTGTAGCAGCGAAGGAAATAACGGGGTCTTTGAAATAAAAGAAAAATAAAAAATACATTTTTAATGGTCCCTAAATATTAATTGAAATGTTAACACTCACACTTATTTCAAAATCCGGAGAAATATGTATTCGTTCGGTTGAGCACCGAAGTGAAATCAATTAGAATAAAGTGAATTTATCCTTGTTATATAAGAGTAACGGTCGAGTGGTCAAGAGAGGGTATATAAAAATTTGGTCTGGTCTTCACGCTTGCACACCCCTGTGACCTCTATCCCAAAATAACGTTGATTTTAAGGATCTGTTCAACCTTTTTGTTTGCCAGCCTGACTGCAGTTGGTTCGCTTAGGTCAGGCATACGTTTCACTTTTTCCCCCTTCAGTTTTTGGGTTTTTCGTATCTGGCAACCAACAGTACAACGAGTTCGTTCACTGTCAATTATATACAGTACGATTGGGACCTATACTATCCTTACAATATTAAGATAATTAAAAGATCTGAATTTGTTCAAGGATTTAATGTGGTGGTTGCGTGATATGTAATAAAGACAACCAAGGCTTACCATTAAGCAACGTTAACAAAATATTGTATATGTTGAGTTTAGTGTATCGTGTTTAAAGGATAACTCGTACAGGATTGATAAAATTTACCCGGTAAAATCGTAAGTAACTTATGTGCTTTCAGGTTTGCCTAAGTATGTCACTAATGTTTACTGCCGCCCTTGTTGTATGTAGATATGTGCATATCCTCAACAAAAGTGAACATTCAGTTGTACCCAGTAAGTGGGATTGTCCGGAATGTAAGGAAGGTCACATCACGTGACCAGCTCGCTGCTGAATGGGAATCTCAGATTGCGTATGCATTCTCTAATTGTCGAACATACACGTGATTAATTCGATTGTTCACGGGGAGTACGCAAGAGGGTCGGAAAGATACATAGCCTGTGATGTGCATTGCATGCGCTATGTCGTGGGTGCAGGCGAACATGGGTGTAAAGGTTTACATTATCGTCGTTTGTTCGCTCAGGGACCCATTGAGCATCTTAGAGCAGGGTCAATATTCCGAAGACTGCATCACAGAACACTTAGATACGATAAACTGACGTACAACCACAAAATCGAAATGACACCAACGGAGTCTACACAATGATCAACTCACCTGCAATGGCGCAAAGCAGCAGCAAAGCGATGAATCGATTCATGATGATGGTGGTTCTTGCAAGCTGTTGAACTAACGGTGTTAACGACGAAGGTTGCACTAGAAGCAGCAGTACACGCCAAGCCTCAGTTTGCAAAAGTGAGGCAAGATCATGTCTTTATAAGCAGTAAGGGCCAAATACAAAGTCATCTAGGTCAAAATAAATGTACCAGGAAAAATCTTTGCCCCATTTCAAGAAGACACTTGAATGACAGTTTTGTCCAATTGCATCCAAGTTAGGCCCTATCATAAATTAGAATTTCTAATCAATAAAACAAAAGTATTAGTTTGCACAGTCTCCAATCAAACTAGGTATTTCCCCTCTTTTCAATTAAATTCCGGCTTTCAATTACCGTTACATCGAAAGGCAATTGTGGCCCTGACCAATATTGAATTTTCGATTTCATAGTCAAAGTCAAGAACGTCCAACACCAACACTGTGTTTACTGTGAAAATACCAGCAGAACTAAATGTGCCACTTAATTGAAAAAGAATTTGTCAAACATAGCTTAGTTACTATGTACTTGAATTTGCTCAAATATAATTATACTTCAGTTATGAGGTTAGGCAATTTTTTTGCCAGTTGAAAATTCATAATAAAATACACGAATAGGTTAAAATAACAATCACTATCACGTGACTTGTCAAATGATGTCAATTTTCATCTATAACATCTATATCTTATATAGATGGTGTAGAGCAAAGGGCCGATCTAGACATACATGTAGTAAAACCTCATGTCACTCACACGCGTAATCGTTTACACTCCACAGAGAATGAACATTGTTGCAAGCTTTCTGTCTGCACGTAGCCTTGCCCAAGGGGCTTTTTTCCGGAGATATAATTTTGCCTCACGCACGGGATCCACACGGCAAGCAAGCCACCCGTGTATGTGTACTCACACATACGTATGGACGTGCGTGTCATTCGTATACATGTACGACATGTAGCATGTGGAGTAGAAAAACTGGCTTCAGAGCACTTACAGTGTAAACGATTACGCGTTTGTGTGACATGAGGTTTTTATTATGTCCATATCGACCCTTAGCTCTACACCATCTGGATTAGCTACATAAAAGGGGGGTGTTCCTTCCACATGTGACATGACATTATAGGTGCACACTTCACATTCCTTATATTCTGTGGTCCAGGTCTGACTGCGTCGAAACATTGCAGGTATCTAGAAAGGGAAGTGTTATAGACGAAAATTAGCCTATAAAGATGATGTCGTCGGGTAACATGTCATGGGAAAAATCAAAATGTATCTTTAAGGAGGATGATTTTAATATTCTTTATGTACAATAACTTCAGTTCCCTCCCCTTGGAAAATAATTTTCTTTTTTAAGCTGGACCCTCCCCTGGTAAGGTAACATCATTCTTACAGTAATCAGACCCTTGAACAAAGAGCCCCTTTGATTTAGCGCCATGTGCTCAGCATTCCTTCTAGACCCCCTCAGTTTGCAGACTGGCAGTGAAGAGCACACACCACACTTTTATTAGTTCTCTGCCCCTCGCTTAGTCTGCCGTTTTATTCGGTAAGTTCCCTTATATTACTTCGTTTTCCTTGATAAAACTGTTAGAAAGAAGATTTTTATTGAGTGCTGTAGATTACCCTAGGTTCTTTTAGGATATTTTTATTACATTGTGATTTTTTGTATTAATACAGTGAATACGGCCAGGTACATGTGCGTGTACTTGAGTTTCCATCCTCTCGGTCAACCTTAAGGCTTATTTTTAAAAAATAAGTTTATTTCATGTTTTATGAAACACGTGTAACTTGTGAGAGATTGGTATTAAAGTAGGGTCATGTTTGTGCTCGATTCATGAATTCTACACATTTACTCCTGTTCCTGATTTTTATGCATTCTTACTAGATTACGTTTACCATTTTATTGCTCTGTCTTTATTAGTGACATTCTTTGCTGTTGGGATGGAAAAACTAAAGGAATTTAGTTTTGACAAGTTTTAACTTTTACTCATAGTGGTTTGTGTAGTTAGTGCCACAGCAATGACTAAAATGTATTACTTTGCCCTGCATACCTGTGTTGGAAGGATTCAAGTTCTCAATCGTCTTTTTTTTCACACTTCACAGCTGTTTTTACTTTGTTTTTTAAAGCCTAAGTATTTAACGGTGATTTTCTTTCTTGCTTTGTCTATTACATGTACATTTACTTTCATGCTTTAAGGGATACATGTAGTAGAGTCCCATTCATAAGATCAGTGGTCTGGTATGTACGGAGAGGTGCTTTACAATGGAGTTAGTGTTTCAGCAGTTTAGACTTGTTCCTTAGTCCTTTGGTTAGTATTAACTCCGGTCATATTTTATACATAATGATTGTGTTGCTGATTGATTTACGGTGGGAAGACTAAAGTTTCCTCTAGCCCAGGTGAGCACTTGGTTTGTCTGTGCCCAGCTGACCTTGAAGGCAGGGATAATCTTATCAGCTCATTAGGTATTCACAGGGATTTTGGTGGTCTGGACTGCTACATGCACCACTGGCTGTGGATTTTTGTTTACAGGTTGTGAAAGGGCCTGATGGTTTGTGTGAACTAGCTATGGAACTAGGGACTGGTCGACGTTATTTTGTAGACTTATAACATTTACCTTGTTTAACTTTTAAAGCTATTTTTTGCGTTTCTTTGTTTTTTATGTTTCAGGTTGTCAAAGCTGTTGTGTTTATTGTTTTGCAACCCTCTTATATGCTGTGTTGGCTTTCGGTTATTTTAGTTTTGCTTGTGGTTAGGTTTCCGGGTTTTTTGTTGAAATTCATTCATTTTTTTGCTTGTATTTGCTTGACTTTAAATTTTGTTGAATCCACGCTCCTATTTCTTTTGACTAGCAAAGTTTCATTGGCATCTTATTTTTTGAAGTTTGACGTAGTTTCATTAAGTGCATTTTTTGAAGATCAAAGTTAACCGAGTCCCATTCTGCCCAGACATCACACTGTTTTTTCAATTCTTTTTAGATCACCAGTTTGATTGAGTTCGTGGTTAGACAATTATATCGTTGTTTGGATTCTGCTGAGCATTGCCCCAAAGCAATAAATTTCGGAATTTCATTTTTTTGTTAGTTTGTTTCCTCCTTTCTGTAAAATTTGCAGTCGTTTGCCTCCACCTAATTTTCCTTGCAATTCCTCCCTACCCAATCAAATTTGAAGTTTTTTCAGCGAGTTCCCCAAATTCTGGTTTGTTTTTTTTTTGTTTATTCAGACTTAGTTTAGGGTGCCATTTTTCCGTGCAACATATCCTTTTCAGAAGTATGTCTTCTCAAGGTATTTTATTAGGAATTTTCAACGTTTCACATTGTTCTTTTGGCAGTATGATTTCTAATGGTTTTGTATAACCCCCAAAACAACTCCGCGATTTTCCACCACAATTGCAAAACCTCTAGTCTAAATTTAAATAAATGTAAATACAAAATGAATTAACTGGCAAGAATTGCCAAACTGCATCACTGAAGTACAATTATTTTTGAATAAATTTAAGTACATAGTAACTAGGTTATGTTTGAGTAATTCTTTGTCAAGTAGGGGGCACATCTAGTTCTGCTGGTATTTTAACCGAGGTAAACACAGTGTTGGTGTTGAACATTGTTAACTTTGACTATGACATCGAAAATTCAATATTGGTCAGGGACACAATTGCTTTTTGATATAATGGTAATTGAAAGCCGGATTTTAAATTGAAAGACGGGGTTAACACCGTTTGGTTCGAGACTGTGCAAACTAATACTTTTGTTTTGATAGAGTAGAAATTCAAATTTATGATAACTTGGATAACTTGGATGCAATTGGGCAAAACTGTCATTCAAGAATCCTCTTGAAATGGGGCAAAGGTTTTTCCCTGGTACATTTATTTTGACCTAGATAACTCTGTATTTGGCTCTTATTGCTTATAATTAAAGACACGATCTTGCCTCTATTGGGCATACTGAGGCTTGGCGTGTACTGCTGCTTCTAGGGCAACCTTTGTCGTGAATACCGTTAGTTCATCAGCTTGCAACAACCACCATCATCATGAATCGATTCATCGCTTTGCTGCTGCTTTGCGCCATTGCAGGTGAATTGATCATTGTGTAGACTCCGTTGGTGTAGTTTCGATTTGGTGGTTATACGTCAGTTTATCGTATCTTAGTGTTCTGTGATGCAGTCTTCCGAATGTTGACCTTGCTCTAAGTTGCTCAATGGGTCCCTGAGCGAACAAACGACGATAATGTAAACCTTTACACCCATGTTCGCCTGCACCCACGACATAGCGCATGCAATGCACCTCATAGGCTCACAGGTATCTTTCGACCCTCGTGCGTACTCCCCGTGAACAATCGAAACAATTAATTAATTAATCACGTCCGTGGTGCAGTTGACCACGTAGGACTACCTCCCCGTGAGGATAATTTTCTATATAGGTAATTGCTGTTGTATACAACGGGTAACTGAGCTCTGACATTGAATAAACCAATCATATAATTGCCTTGGAAATCACTGGTCACCGTGAGATTTAGTTCAGTCCTGTATCACTTATTGACATTTATTGTAATATTTATTAGCATTAGGATCAATTACCTAATCAGAGAGTGGTGGTAAACTTCCACCAAACAAACAGCCCCTAAGGCATGGTCCACCGTTCGTTAACTGATATCCCCCCTTGCGTTTGGATAGGTGAAATAAATATATTTGTGGGGTTAGGCCAGGTCAATTCTCCAATCAGGCCAGTCTGCTGGTCCGCCACAAAAACATTTCAGTTGTTCCGCCACAGTGCGTTTGTGTTCTTACAAATACAACGTTGGCCCAATTCAGCAAATTGTTCGTGACTTTTATTTCTTTTTCCTTTATTAATATTTTTCTGCTCCTTTCTTTATAGTACAACAAATCAATGGGCACCCGGACGCAAATGCTAAAGATGGAGGGACATTGTAAGTAAAGTTATCTCAGATGGAATTCAGGCTGTTCGTGGTGGAGGACAGCAACAGGTGGAAAGGCTTGCGGTAGCACCATGCGAAAGAATATATCTCTCTTATGAGTATGTGTGGTTCTGAAGAGAACCGGGAGTATACTCAACGTTTCGGACTGCATATATATGTATCGGGAGACCAGTCGCCTGACGACGGACTGAGCACGCAGTCCGAAATGTTGAGTATACTCCTGGTTCTTTTCAGAACCACCCATACTCGTAAGAGAGATACATTCTTTTGCATGGTGCTACCGCAAGCCTTTCCACCTGTTAAAGTTATCTCACAGATTGCGTAGAATATATATTTAGAAAGACATTCGTACATCCATCGTACATTAATAAGGAAACAAAAGTTTGCTTGGCCGGACTTATATAACTTCATGTATGTTTAAGACCTTATAGGGGCTTTGGAATCTGATGATTACCCGAAAATATATAGCAAAGGCCATTTTACAAGCTTTAGTTTTATCGGATTCACGAATGAAGTAAGTGCCTTTTGGTACAATCGACAAAAATCCTCCCAATTATTCGTATATATACACTTCATGGACTCCCTGTTTTGTGGGCCCTTTCCCTATTCATGTTCACGAGCCACTTTAAAATGACTGTTTCTGCCTTTATCACTCTACATTCCAACAAGAAGTGGACCATCTACCTAACTACGATGGCTTTATATTGCCAGTGGTGATCTGCAAGGAAAGTAGAAAGCAATTTAAATGTGTTCACTCGGAAATCTTGTTTTATCAGTAAAAACAAAAACAACACCTCAAAATGAATATGCAATCGAGTTTGAATTTGTTAAGAAAATTATTTCGATATTTGGGGTAATTTATTTGTCAACCCGGAGGTACACTGAAGAACGTACGATAGCCCTTCTTTAAATAAAAGATACCCTTCAAAATTGTGACACCAAAAGAGATTGGGGAAAGTATTCGATGGTTTTATCTGCTTTTGATAATTGGGCAAACTGATTACGTTTTTTGATTACAAATCGTTTCAACAGTTCAAAGTGTGATTGTTCTTTGACCCAACATTCCCTTGGCTACAAAACCCACTCACCATTGAGTGATTGATCTCGTTTCTTTGATTAAACATTTCAAAATTGCCAAAGCCCCTCCTGAACCTAGTGCAATGTAGCGTAGAAGACAATGACATAATCCTTGATTAGACTGGTGCTAGCTGTTATTTTGTTAACCGTAAAGTGCATTTTTTAGTAGTGTATGACATTGGTAAGCACACAACCTTTACGTTAAAGAAGGTGTTATAATGGCTATCTTAAACGTATTTTGTGCAGGGCTTAGCGTGCCAATTATTGTGGCGCGACTCTTTATGAGAAAGTACGTGAGATTTTCCATGCCTTCCGTGGAGCCTCCGACCAAGGTAGTGAAGTCAAAATCAACTTGTAATATACTGTCTCTCACCAGTGGCGTAGCCAAGCGAGGCAAGGGCCAACTAGGCCCTGTGGAACGTTTGCTCTCCCTCTTGCCTGATTACACCTCTGTATCTCACTAACCTTTGGTCGAGCAAAAAAACCCAAAGCTAATAGAATTTGAGTATTGAAACTGCCCCTCCACTTTCTCAGGAAGGGTTTTCCAAAAGAAGAGATTTAATAATCAACGAACGTGAAAGCAAAGTACTTTAACCGATGCTGTCACAGAAACTCCAGAAATTGCAGAAACTGAAAACTGAAATCAAGAAAAGTTTTAGTTTTCATCCAATTCCCTCTCTTCTTGGTTCCCCTTTTATGTTTCGCTTCTTTTCTTCCTCTTAATTTTTTGGGGGGGTCCCACCTTGATCCCCTGATATATGCATGTCTCCATCAACAGACTGTACACGCCATGCAAAGGAAGTCTGCAGAAGGACGTTTTCTTTATGTAAAGAGGTCTCCTGTTTCTCCCCGCTCTGCTGATTTGTGTAAGAGTCGATTTTTTTTAAGGTGGGGCTGATGGTTACATACAAAAAGACAGAGTTATTTTGGGTGAAAGCAAAATCATCGTGCCACTTTTGTTTTCTCGTCATCTGTGATGCAGAGTTTCTGGATTCAAAGGACGCCAGCACATTCTTGTTTGGACACGGTATTGGAAGGCGAGGTTTGCACCGCGAATGCTGTACTGAAGGATGCAGCATCGAGGAGATTTATGAATCCTGCTAAAGGAGACACCAACACCGACCTAGCTAACTTCCTGCCAACAATGGATTCAGCTTTACAACAAATAAAGTTTTCCGTCTTGTCCCAAGATATGAGTGGTGGTGGTTTCTTCACCAAAATAAAGACAAATAAAATGCCATTTGCTTCATTTTTATGACATTTCGTGAACATTGAATAGGGAGCTCCTAATTTTACCTCCCATTACTTGGGGAATGGATTATGCCCCGAAGGCCTCAGCAGTCTCAAAATGAAATCTTGGCCTCTTACGTTGAAAGGAAACCTACATTTTCGAAGTTTCGATTCCACCAGATCGATCAAATCTTTCTCCGAGCTGAGAACTGAATGGACCAACGTAGCATTAAAGATTCCTTTCAGGTCTCTCACGGTAGTAATGACGAATATTACAAGACATAACAGCTTATTCCTCAAACTAAGACAACTTTCTTGTCAAGATAACTCTTTTTGTTTGTTTGATTGCTTGTTTGTTTATACATCGACAGTGCTCTTTAATTTATAGGACGTGTTATGTTAAATGAATCATTTTAAAAACAAAGAATGACTCTTTGCAGTAAACTTTTGGGCTATATATAAAACCTAGAGAGTGATTTAAAGCACGAAGAAAATACATTTCAGTACCACATTCACGCTTATGCATTATTTGTGGTTCTTCTTTTAGGAGATATGCCTTCATTAAGATAAAAACGCCGACTATAAAGGGTCTATTTTAAGATTATCTGGCCCTTCGATTTTTCTTAGTTTTCAATCTGGAAACTTGAAAGATTAAAGTTTACCTGCAAAGCAGTCAGTTTGTAAACTGCATGATGATTTCAAAAATATGTAGGAGCTACACTCTTAAAAAAATTGGTCAATAATTTACCAATATTTCACCCAACGTTGGTCAAAATACCAACTGCAAACATTATTGGGCTAAGTTTACCAACCCAAGANTCTTCTGGATGATTCAGAACTTCGAACAGATATGTAAGATAACGGTCCGGGACATAATTTTAGTTAATGCGCTGAAGACTACATAATCTACATAACCAAAGTTTTTGAAGCAAAAGGAGTAACTTAGGGGAAGTCACCTACAAACTGTAATTGATCCAGCTAATTATAGGTCCACAAATCTGATTTTTGAGGTTACCGGTTGCTGCCCTCAATCTTTATTCTTTGCACTGCCCATGTCTCGCGGAGAATAACATACCTTCAAGACAAGACAGGTGAATGAGTGAAGTTCTTCGTTAAAACTTCAACTTTCCTCTATGATCCCTTTATACCAGATAGAGACTAGGCTCTGGATAACTAAGCCGCAAAAGGCCTACGTGCAACAAACTTAACATATCTGACCGAGTACAGGTTCTTCAAAGTGACGGTGTGGATTCATGAACACCTTTTCTCTAGTTTCTTGGGCGCTAGGTCGTTATGGGAACTTTTCTCCAATGTGACTGTTCTCTTATAACACTCCTTACACACCTGCTAGTTACTATGCATGGGAAGAAAACTTATTTCGTATGTACTGGGTCCTAAAACGGGTCTCTCAACCAACGGCCATGCGTTCAAACACTTCTGCTCCCCCAGTTTGTGCTCCAGATCTTATTGTCTGTCTCTCGCGTGACTTAAGGCCATAAAAATAGTTAATATGAGCGGTTCACAGTATAGTTTGGCCGCGAACATAACTTCTCATCAGATCCGCATGTCACATTTTTCCTCAACAACTCACTCGTAATTGTGGGGATACGGATTTTCGTTTGGTTAGCTTTGTCTCCTAGAGACAGGTTTATATTTAACTCGACCTCATTTGCATAAGGCCTAACCCCGTATTTACATGTACATTAGGGCGCACCAATGTTTTGCGCGCTTAACACTTTGCTCTTTTATCCAGCATCACTGGACGTTGAATTTGTTGTGTCTTTGTGGCCAGTTTGTCGGCACACAATTGTTTGAAATGTAAGGTGTCCCTATTGGGGCCTGTCTCCAGAACAGGTAGCAAGTTATTTTCATTTCATTTTATGTGTGACTTTTCGGGAGAGTTGTGTTGCGGAGCGAGGTGGTAGGATACCAACAATGTCCGTTGGAGAAACTGGGCATGGACACGGTACATGTACTCTGTCTTGGTTGTGTTTATTCTTATCTCTGCATAGACAATCGTACATGGGAAGCCCTGGATAGCCCTGGTTAGCCCGTTCTAATAGAAAATATGACACAAAACAAGTACATGCATTTGGGTAAGATAATATAGAGGGCGCAACAATGTTTGTGTACAATAATGATCGAAGAGCGGCATGTATTTCCGACAGTAATGGATTATGAAATTTCGCAATAGAATTTGGTGTCTAAATAATCACTCTTTATAAGGATCAGTTATCTAATTAAATGAATTACTCATTTAACTAAAAGATTAATTAAAAGGTGGTGAAACAGACTCCCTACCGTCCTTTATCCGGCCATCATTTGGTACTGATTTTCTGCGTTCCGCTCACGCGGCCTGACAATCGTCTCGCAGCCTTTTTCTTTGACATCGCGCGGTGGCGCTCTTCCGATAAAATTAACTTTTCGCAACAGTTGTATACTTTTACCGAAACTTTGGGAAATCCAATGGCGTGGCGTTGTCATAGACACAGCTGTGTGCATATATGTGTACTGAATTGTACGTGGACTGCATGCGCGCACGATACCTGTACTGGGTTTTACGGCCACCTTTGCTGTGTGCACACACCTTTTTCAATAGCAATGGGGTTTCCTTATTTTTCTGTTAATTACAGGCAGAATGTACATGTAGGAGTTATCCGGTCCCTGCACCTGGGGATTTTCCTTAGGAATTTTCTTTAAGATTTGATGAGGTTTCTCCTTGCATTAATTTCAACCTACTCATCATAATTCTACTTCATGACTGTGATTTTTCTTTGATTCCACCTTGAATTCGCCTTGATTGCTGAATAAATTTGTGTGTGAGGCAACAAACCAATATTTTCTCTGATTGACTGAATCATTGCCCTGTCCACTCGTACTCTATCCCAATCAATTTTGGGGTCAGCCCTGCTGGTTGTGATACCGCAGCCCCATTTCACTACAAAATGAAAACACAAAGTTAGCAAGGATGCATAAAAAAGAACAACAAATTCAAAGCCTGCAACCTGTAGCATGGACTAAGCAAGCAAAGAGGATGGAAATGAAAGAATCAGTATAGGCGCCCTCTCTAAACACCATAAACCAGAGTGCAACTGCATGTGTCACGTCGTGAGTTGTGTCGTGCGTCGCGGTGTGCTTCAGGCGACGCAAGACTCTACGCGCCGGGACCAGGATTCACACACCACCTCCTTCTCAGGGTTTTGCACGAACACACGTACGGAAAATTGTGCGGGATTTCAAAAGTGGCAGTGTTTGATATTAAGCTGAATGGCCGGTTTGAAGGAATTTGCGGACAGTACGGTTGCTGATAAGGGGTCGGTTAATGCTTTTTCACCGCATGGCCATCAGGTAGACAAATACTTGCCATTTGAAGTTTGGGCCGGGTTGCGCTGCCCTGGGTGCTTAGCTCGACATGCCAAACATGACAAGAGGGTATCACCTGTGATGAATAAAACATCAAAGGAATACACCAGAGAAGCAGGTGTTCAGTAGCTTCAGATTCGCTGATTTATTGTCATTCGGATTTAATTCGAATCTCATTGATAATGATCCCCACGGTCGCATGAAGGGGAGGAGGCAACCGATGCTGCACAAGCCGGCGTGGCTTCTTCCTTCCTCTGCCAAAACTACTTTTTCTCTTTCAGCTCGTCTCCACAAGCCCAAAATTCTAAGTCTTTGCAGACATATGCAGCTGGCTACCTTTGGCAGTTGACCTCAACAGTAAGTAGACGAGTGCCCTCTATTGGTCTAACCCGTGAACAATCAAGCCAAAATCATAATAATCGTCCCCCCACAAACTCACAACTTAATTGATCTACTCATGCAGATCATCTTGATTTATACATTGAATTTTTTAAGAACACTGCTTGAACTAGATAAAGTCTGTAGTACTCTTGTGAACAACTTGTTTAACACACACTTAGCCGAGAACGGCGGCAGATGTACGAGCTCATATACGGAAATGCAAGCGCTGTGTTCAGTCGAAGGTGTCAGAACCTACACCAAAGGGCCCCTTGCGTCACTTGTTGGCTTTCAGGCCACTGGAAGTTCCGGCCATTGATTTCGTTAAAGTGGACAGGGGTCGTGGGGGTGTTTTTTTATATCAAATGTAGTTAGAAAGAGCGTTGCGACCAGCTACCAGCATTGTCTCCAGGAAATAAATAACCATTCCTTAAATCCAATTTAAGAACAATTCATCAATCATTAATACGTGCTTGCCAATGTGACATGCGGATCTGATTGGAAATTATATTCGTGGCCAAGCTATAACGTGTACTGTGAACCTCTCGTGTTAACTCTTTTTATGGCCTCAAGTCAAGCGAGAGATATTATGGTGTTGGTACAGGCAACGAGTTCGGGAGAACGAACCCGCCGTGAGCAGAAATGCTTGAACCCATGACCGTGGGTCGAGAGACCCGTTTTACGACGCAGTACATACACAATAAGTTTCTTTCCATGCATGATTACTAGCAGGTATGTATGGAGTGTTATAAGAAAACAGTGACATTAGAAAAAAAAATTCCCCATAAACGACCTAGCGCCCAAGAAACTACAGAAAAGGTGTTCTTGAATGCACACCGCCGGCTTGAAGAAGAACCTGTACTCAGTCAAATATGTTAAGTTTGTTGCACTTAGGCCTTAGTAGTGCACCCCGTCTAACCAGGATATTTTGCCTCCTCTCTGGCGGGCTCTCGACCAAGCAGAACGCTGGATTTTGTACCACGTGACCCTCATTAGCATAAAATGAGAATCAGGAATATTCCATTGTTCACGAGGTGTAGGTAATGTGTGGGGGAAAGGTCACGATATACAAGAACTTACCATTTTGTTTGTTGGTCTTTGTGATCGATATAATCTGCTCGAGAGAGCGAGGTAAACTCGGGTAAGTCTTGAAATAAGTACAAAACTGCATGTAGAGTACAGTAAATAACATATCTCTTAAAACAGTGAACTTAATTGATGGCTTTTTTTACACATGGACTATACTTATGTGGGCCGGCCGGGTATGTCGGTTAGAAATGCATGTACGGTACAATCACAAGAACGTTATACATGTATACGCATATGTACCCTACAAACGTAGGTCTGTAAACGTGGGGACCTACTACATGTACCTACGATAAATTATATGGTACGTCAGCCCAAATTGGGCGCTGTGTACAATAGCCTTATTGTTTGCTCGGAGGGCGATTGCAGTCACGTCACAGTGCTGAGTCATCGATAGACATAAAAAACTGGACATGTCCGAACATGTCCAACGGGAAGGTCCGACATAGGTGGCGTTTTCAAGCGTTTCGCATTCGCAGGAAAAGTTAGTACATTTCACAAATTAAAAGCATCGTTCTTGACCCTCTCTGCGGTTGGATGCATTTCTTGTGCTTACCTTGTTTAGTTGTGAACAAAATAATGTACTTTGGGCAGGCCGGACGTGTGTGTCTACTGTGTTTAAGGCCAAGAAATAAAAGTAGGTTCATACCATTTATTATCGAAGGAGAAAGTCTTTGAAACAAAGGCATTTATTAGCTTGGACGTTCCAAGTCCGGTGTTTTAAACTTATGCAAGTAGGTAGTGCATAATAAAGATCAGGAAGCTAGTACAAAGAATGATATCAGGGGACCGAACTATTTTGGGGGATTAACATGTACATGTTTGTGCAATAATCATGTGCATGCATGTAGTCAAGTAAAAGTAATAGATTCCCACGGTAGGATAGTGTTGTGGTTTAAGCGTGGAACTCAAGAGCTTTTGACCCCGTCTCGAAGACGTTTTAGAGCCAACTTACTCCATTCATAAAACAAATATAAATCCTGTCCCGTGTGACTAACGGGATTGAAAGTTGTCGTGCCGCCTCGAACAAAGTGTTGGGTTCTGCGCAGGATCACTAACCTTTGCTTTACTCATGGAGAAACCGCTAATTAGTTTCATTAATATAGGCTTGTCTTATCCACGTGCAACGCTTTCCCAATTACCACAGGTTGTTTCTCCAAAGTTGGGTCAAAACAATTGGTTCACTGTAAGAAGCAACACTTTATACCCTATTTGTGCGCGTCAGAGTACAGTAGGTACATGCAAGACAGTGAAGCGTAATTCCCACCCATCGTGCAACCATGTTCGATTAACAGTACAATTAAGTTGTATTCCCAGTCCATTGGATAAAGACGCCCAGGTAAAGGACACGACGGCAGTGTTTGAACCTATCGATTCCAACCCCAAAGCCAGCGCACAGTTAATCAATCTTGCAAGACGTTTTTGAGGTGAGTTGCGTTTGGACTGCGTGAATATCCCTCCCTGTAAGGTTCAGATGAAGTCATGCTTTGTTTCCATCTAGTCTGCAGTCCCATATTTTTAGCTACAAGCATGTTGGATTAGAAATTCGTACATTTTGTGAAACAAATGTTTTTTGTTTTCAAACATTGCTAACCTGACAGACTGAGCTTGAAAACAAGCCTGAAGAAAGATGCGTTTGGCACTAAGAAGTTCTACTACATACTTTATTACAATACATGAAACTCAAAGATATAAATGAAGGTGATAAAGGTTCACCAACTATTCCAGCAATAAATAGTGTTAAAGCAAAATGTACTAGTTGACGCTGAATCACAAAAAATCACATTACATGTACACAACGACACTTATTAAATCATTATCAAAAGAGAGCGGCCAAATTACAAACAAGCTCTTCTTTTAAAATAACAGATTGTGTAGCAATGGTTGAATAAGAAAGGTATCAAATCAATTCCCGCTTTTTATAATACACATGCGGTCTCTTGTACTTGATCCACAAATTTTTCACCGTTTTAGATACAAAATTTGGAACACGATTGGCCAGATCCAATCATGTGGACACGGTAAAACTACTCAAACATTGCTTTCACTTTTTTGGGGATTAATAGTCAAAACGTTAAGAAATAAGCATATAGGTGGGTAGAACTTTTTCATATTTAGCCAATCATTGCATTTGTAAAACATTTGTTGGTAATCCCCAGCGAATTTTTAAATTCCCTGGCATGTAAAAATAAGAAAGTAAAATAAAAACAAAATTAAAAAAAATATTTGTTTACAGGACAATCGCTGTTAAATTCGTTTCTCCGTTTATTACATAAGGTACAAACGTTTGACATCGCAGTTTCCATTGTGTAGTTGTTCCGTTATTCTAGCATAGTGCACTTTAAAATTATATGCTGTAATAATACGAATCATTAATCATACGTGCAAAAAATGGAAACAACTTTGTGATATATAAAATAAAATCAGTTTGAGGTTGTCGATGAGCATTGGTAAAAGAATTAATTACGCTGCTTCGTGTTAACGTTAATTGGCGCAACAAAGCAACAGCCTGTTAGGTACATGTACAATATTGTCCACACATGTACATACACTTTTAAACAAACCGTTTTGATCGAGAGCCCCACTGTATACTAGGTCAAGAGTGGAAATTAAAAGCCGTAAGGCACGGTGTCGTAATTATCTATCGGTACACGCTTGGTGTAAACCATCTGATAAAATTTCTTTTCCTCTTTGGTCTCAATATGCACAGTTTTCTTATTCCTCGTTATTTTGTAGGGATCTTTCACTTGCACTTTACTTGGACCTTCTTTGCGTACCATTTGAGACATGACATCAAAATTAACGAGGAAATGATTCCTATAGTTCAAAGTAATGCCTCTGACTTTACAGTGAGACAAGTTGCCACTCTTGTCTGGTTTGGCTAATTTGTAATCGTAATTCTTGGGACCTCCTGACACGAATGTAACGATATGATTATCAGCCTCCAACTCATTGATCAACTCTCCAAGAAAGTCATCAATCTCCGGCTCCCATTCACCCTTTCGACTGACGTAAATCACGCTATCGGTGTCATAATAGACAACCCTGTGATCACGTTTGTCTAACAGATCGTACAACTTCAGACGAGCTTGACAAGTCGTGTATGCAGCTAGTATTACGTTGGTCCTTCCTGACGGCTCCACAAAGTCCTCCGTGTGTTGCCACTGCACCTCGACCATCTCCTCGTTGACAAAGTTAGCGCTTTGAACTTCGATGTCATCACGCGTCATCATGTCGAGGTATTCGGTTGGGTCCTTCAAGTACGAAGTCTTTGCCATGTTGGGTCGTTGTCCAAACTTCTCCTAGAAACTGAAGAGGAGAAATATATTCATTAGAACTTGTTAAGCATAACTTTATGAGAAAAGCATGAATTAATTCACTAATGTTTGGATTTGGGAGTCACAGTCATACAATGCATAACACATTGAAGAAAAAAAAATCGAACAGTTTAAACTTGAATATACTTGAAAGTTCAGCTACCTGTTAAGCATCAGTTTTGTTATGGCCCTCAATTCCGGGTTCTTCTTAATGTTGCCCCACTCGAGCTGGATCCCTCCTTGTCAAAATACCGCTCGATGTATTGGTGTTTCTGCTCGTCCATCTGACACCAGACAGGCCAGTCACTCGCCTCCTGTTTCATCTTGAGGAAAGCATTCACGTAGTCTGCAAAGAGCCCACCCTCTTTGGTGTCTGGATCGTAATGAGCGACTTCATCAAAATGCCAGACCTCGTAGATTTTCACCAGCGTGTAGCCTTTATCCAGCGCCTTCTGCAACTCCAGAGTGACCCCCTTACCGACGAGGGAACGGTCGTCGTCGCTGTGCTGACACAGTGAGACTGTTAAAGGGTTTCGGCGCACTTGGCGAACATCGAACGACCCGATGCTTCGTACGGAATGACGGGGTGATACAAGCCTCTAGGTGGAAGAACCTTGCATTTAATCAGCCCCTCGTACTCGCTGACATCATCGAAATTTTTGGTGATGACAGTGGGATGGCCAATTGGATATTTTCCATATTTATAGACGTAGGGGTACAAGGAGGTAAAGTCAACGTACTTGATCTTCTCATTGGGCCCTGCTTCGTTCTGCAGTCGAGTGGCATTAGTGCGACCTCCGCAGAAAGCATCACGTGGAATAAGAGGTGTCTGAATCTCTAGCGAGGACACAAATGTGTTCATGTCTGTGTTCAGCGAAAGTTCTGTATCGAACTCGCATTCCAATTTTCGGTGAGGTTGTACCCACATCCCATAATGTATTGACGTTTGTCGGTGGTCTTCTGGTAAAGCTTTTCCATCGTGAGGCCGTTGAGAGGATGCTTAGTGTCCCGAGTAAGGCAAGTATGACTGTTATGAAGACAACCGTGAAATTCGAGCGCGGTTTTTACTCCATTTGACTCGTAGTAGCCATCGGCCTTGTAGGGACCAATGTGTTTCTCACCGTTGTTGGCGGCATGTTGGACGAGGTGACCAGTCTGATGGGCCACCCATTTGAGCCACTTGAGAGCCTCGACCGACTGGCGATCGTTGGAAAGATATCCCTGAAAATGGATGATGGTGTCCGGAGCCAAATACTTAGTGCGATATACCAAGTTGCAAGCGGAAGCGACTGTAATGCAATGGCGAAACGGGTCTATACCGGGGGCTGACTCGTCAGCAGTCATGTTCATGAAAAGGGATCTAAAGCTGAGACAACACCGACGGAGTATGTCCACGTCAGAACGACAGTATTTGACGATTTCTTTCTGGAAGTCAAAGTGGTCATTCCTATGTTCCCGGTACCACTGAACGAAGGCCTGTCTCTCTGTGGGCTTCATGGAATCGGGATTGTAGTAATGCATCTCGGGGAGGTGAGAGAGTACAGCATGCTAAATGGCCCAGGTGTTGAAGAAATGAGGGAAGTATCCCTTGGCCAGTTCCTTCAAACCGAAAGCACCCGGAAATTTGGAGAGGGCCATAGGGAGGAAGTTGAAGGAGTCGTTGAAATTCATATCGGTGGCGGGTACCGTGATGCTCATTACCTTGGCTCCATTCAACATAACCTCAGGTAGGACGGCATTGTCGTGTAAATACCGCAGAATAAAATATGAGTCGTATCCTTTGAAATTGTGACAGAGGACAATGGAACCAGCGTTCTCTTCGCTAAAGAGCCAATGGCAAAAATCCTGCCTTGTGGTGGGCCCAGCGACAAGTAGCTCGCACTGCTCACACCGTGTGCATGATGCCAATTGTTCTTCGCTCAAGCATTAGGAGCATACATTTTGCAGAGATTTGGATCGTGGACACCCGATTCTTGCATGCATTCGAAATCAAAGAAGATATAACTTTTGACGTCATCTTCACAATATTCGGCATCGTCTTTCATGGCATGTGCCTCCTCCATTTCTTCAGCCATTAGACTGCAATTATTGTCGGGTTTGTCTTTAGTTTTGTCGACCGGTCGCATATAACACAGATGTCCGGGAAGAACAAATTCTCGGCATACTTTGCAGTACCCTTCCGCAATCTTGGCACCTGAAGTGAGACTTGCACACTGACACACCGCCAGTGTTCCGTTTCAGGTGAGTTTTGTAGCACAAGTCACATCTGAAGTATCTATTGCAGTCTCGGCAATATACTAACTCGCCTTCTTCACAGGTGGGCTGAAACAAAGCTTACATGAACCTTGACATCTATGGTCTTCGGGATGCTCGTGACCTTTCAGACATCCCACGCAGAAATAACTTCTGTTGAGGAATGCAGGCATGCTGATGATGACATCATAGTGTCCATCATGATGATAAAGCTAAATCTGTTGATTGGCAGAGGGAACTTTGTAGACGACAGTATTTGCGTAATATTTGGACGCGACTACGATCTGATAACTGCCGACAAGGCGTTGAAATTGTTTAATTTCCTCGAGCCCGCATTTCGTCAACGGTACCCCCGCATTGCAATGCAGTTCCTCAGCGAGTATCTTCTGCAGCTTGTATCCCTTGCGGATGGCATCCCACTTTTCGTGTTTGTCGAGTCGAGCTTTGGCCGTAACGATGGCTCTGGCACAGCACAATTCATCTTTATTCACGATCTGAATGATACATTGTTTTTCTTTCAAAAATCGTTGTAGGTTGACGTACATTTTGAGGGGACGTTTACCACCCTTTGGCATTTCCATGTGGGTAATTTGAATCTCGAGAGTGCCATCTATGGTGAATTCTTCGTAAGATTGTAACACTGTCTCCACCCTAGCTAGGAATCGTTCGGCCGTTAATCAAGACTTGGGCATGAAGGGTAACGTGATGGGATAGTCCAGCTCTGGACATGTGACCACCATGCGTATCAAATCTTGGGGCTCTGCTCCCTCTGTCAACGTGTCGATGAGACTCTGAAATACTTGATTTAAGGTTTCTACAACGGTAGAATAGCCGTAAATGTCGAGGTTGTCGTTAAATCTGACGGTGTACTCTTGGCCCTTTGTCTTGAATTTATTCATATCCACTTCTCCGACCATTGTCACGCGGTACAGGTCACGAACGTCGCCCGAGATTTTCTGACGTTTTGGTGCTGGTTCCTGTGTCGGTGCCTCGTCCACTTCCCCGAAGCCTCTCTGCATAATCAGTCCCCCACCGTGCTTATTTTTGAGGTGACGAATGTAATTGACACGTCTTGCAAATACCTTGCCGCATATATCGCATTGGTATTGGTTGGCATCACTATGCCGGACAGCGTTGCGATTAAAATTACTACGAGAGTGGAACACTTGTTGTAAACGTAACAAGTAAACATCTGTGGAGTATAAAGACGTATAAATGTAGTTAAGGTTAAGTCAAGGTTAATGCTCAAAACACACACACCAAAACATAAGTGCACATTACTAATTCTCTTACGTGTCAAGACCTGAACGTTTTATACAAAGGGGGAACTTTCTGTTACGCTCTACGGTATATCGCCAGAATTTCAGAATATCGACGCATACCTTTTCCTTTAGAATAATTTCTGATATCTGAAAAGTGAATCCTTACGTCAGTTGACTGTGAGTCCTCTGCTCGTTGTGCAAAGTCAGTTATTGCTCCAAGTAGTACTTGTAAAAGTGATGAGAAAAATTACAAACTGTAGGCCTATATGCTGAGAAATATACGTAGGTTTGAATGAGAGCTTGTGTAAGAGATGTTACGACGTCCGTGGTTGAAAGCAAAATGAAGATTTGTCCGTGGCGCCCAACTCTGTATAATTCTATTATGGACGTTGTGATCTACGTTGTGATCTAATTTGCATTAGCTATTTCATTTCATATGTCACACTAGTATAGTAAATACAGCGCAATTCCATTGCATGATTTATAATTTCCGTTATCTCACACGTGCCTTTTTCTTTAGTGGTGTTTATGTTAGTTGCGAATTGCAGCTTGTTCCCCTTGCAGAATGTCACTTTGAACTTGCTACAAGTGCAGTTATCTGCAAAACAGGTATGAGCGTGAATATAATACGTGTATACTTGAATACAAGATAGATCACTCTGCGCCGTGACAAGTCCAACGGTTGGCAGGTAATTGCTGCCTCGTGCACACTTTACAGACTTATATAATTCTATTGCAGACGTCGCGATTTATCGTGATGATATAATCCGTGCTTCTGATTGGTTAAATATATCAGTCATCGAAATTATGATTGGCACAGAGCTAACATGCCACCAGAAACCGCATGACGTCATGTTTACGGATTTAGCCCGAACGTGTCAAAACATGCCTGACAGACAATGCTGATAACTTCCAAGACGGCTTTCATACTCTATCCTGATTGGTTGAGAACTACTATCATACAATTAACGCATGACTTCGAATGGATCGAGGGGGTAGTAACAATAAGAAAACCATAGGGGAAATGATAAAACCTACATATACATGCATATTGAGCTTGACTGCACGGCGTGTAATTATCTCAATATGTAACGGATTTGACATTGAAGATTTAGGGTGACGTTAAGAAATGTTTTGTTTTACACTAAAAATTAAACTACACCGGCGCATGTTTCATACTTGTCAGTCTGTAAATACTTAGACCCCTTGCATGCGAACTGGCACCATGTATTCGGGAATGTGGGATCGATAATGTCTATTGTAATGCGTTGCGCGATGAACAACACTTGAGTTGCACCCATGTCCCGGTTTAAAGCTTGGAAAGTGCATGCCACCCGTACGTGTACAAGTATTTGTCATGCGTTTTCTTGTTTGGTTACGGTTTCTCAAGTGCGTAATGAATATTTGTGTTCATGGTACGCGTTTTTTCATTGCCAGCTTATAGATGTGGTGTAATGCCAAAATCCTATTTTCATTTTCTAGTATTAAGTTCACATTTGTTTCAGTTTAGTGATAAAACTATGCACAATTCAAGCATTCTAATTTGACACAAGTAACAGCTAATTTGTTTCAAGTGCACACTTGACGAACAATTCCGGGTGAGGAAGTCTCACTTGTGTTATCTTATTTTTCTTTTTCCAACTTTTTAACATTTCCCATACAACTTGACGTGACTTTTGCGTTGTGGGACAACGCGCTGTGAAGCAAATTAGCTGTTACTTGTGTCAAATTAGAATGCTTGAATTGTGCATAGTTTTATCACTATATTATAGTTTTATCATTATATTATTCACAATGTGTGTCACTCACGATGTGCTAACTTTGCAAATGTCTGCGTGAATAAACGAACAGACTGTCAAGAATCGACAGGATAAGGGGGAAAGATTTGTTTCAAATGTTAATTTGAATTAAACCGGAAAATGTCTTCACATTGTCCTGTACATTCATCGTTTGGCACGGGATGCGATACGCTCCCGATCACAAGGACAGAAAGAGAAAAATGCAAAGACAAGAGAATGGAGAACGAATTGTACACACATTGCAACATTTTGTCATAGGTTTTTTCTTGGCATAATCAAGATTTACAAAGTCGATGAACATTAGCACTCACGGTTTTAAGATTATTTGCTTAAGTACATGTCTTTCATACAGGTTTATCATTGTGATGTGCTCGTTTACACTTAAACGTTCAACCAACTCTGACATCACTTACTCGTGACATTTTGGTTTCTTTTGTTTAAAACATAATTTTGTTTTAACTTTTAAAGATTTACGTTTTATATTTTACCACTTATTTTGAAACATATATTTTTAACTTTTAGGTTTACTTTTTATATTTTATCAATTATTTTGCGTTTAGTTAATTCTTATTCTTATCCCGACTTAATGACAAATGTGTACGAATCTATGAAATTGGCAANATTAGTGATAAAACTATGCACAATTCAAGCATTATAATTTGACACAAGTAACATCTGTTTTGTTTCACAGTGTGTTGTCCCACAAGGCAAAAGTTACGCCAGGTTGAATGGGAAATGTTAAAAAGTTGGAAAAGGAAAAATAAGATAACACAAGTGAGACTTCCTCACCCGGAATTGTTCGTCAAGTGTGCATTCACAATGTGTGCCACTCACGACGTGCTAACTTTGCAAATGTCTGCGTGAATAAACGAACAGACTGTCAAGAGTTGACAGGATAAGGGGAAAGATTTGTTTCAAATGTTAATTTGAATTAAACCGAATCCTGTATATGCATCATTTGGCATGGGATGCGATACGCTCGCGATCACAAGGACAGAAAGAGAAAAATGCAAAGACAAAAAAAAATGAAGAACGAATTGTGCACACATTGCAACATTTTGTCATAGGTTTTTCTCTTGGCATAATCAAGATTTACAAAGTCGATGACCATTAGCACTCACGGTTTAGATTATTTGCTCAAGTACATGTCTTTCATACAGGTTTATCATTGTGATGTGCTCGTTTACACTTTAACGTTCTACCAACTTTAACATCACTTACTCTTGAAATTTTGGTTTCTTTTGTTTAAAACATAATTTTGTCTTAACTTTTAAAGTTTTTACGTTTTATATTTTACCACTTATATTGAAACAAAGATTTTTAACTTTAAAGTTAAATTTTTATATTTTATCAATTATTTTGCGTTTAGTTAATTCTTATTCTTATCCCGACTTAATGACAAATGTGTACGAATCTATAAAATTGGCACTTAACAAATGCATTTAAAATTGCAATAAAGCAAGATTATCTGTTTTTCAGACATTAGAATTACAAACATTAGAATGAAACACATAAAAATTAAGAGACCATTATAAAAACGCTTATACATCAACTTGTAATAAAACACCTTACTTTTCTTACACGTGTATTTTACTTATATTCGACCTTTCTATTTTACAGTGTTATTGTCTTTCACAACATGTTTACTTTAATTCCATTTTTGTACAAGTACATTGGCTTTTATTGTTGATGTATAGATAATTGTATTTTCGTATTTACATTTTGACGAAATATTAGTTTACGTTTTGATTCAAGATTACAATTTATGTTAGGCATTTTGCATCTGTTCAATTTGAACTTTGTTACTCTTTATTCTGTTTTGTGTGCAAATTTGTAGGATTAGTTTCACACTTTACGTTTGTCACTACTTGATTGAATGCTGGTAATTTCTGATTTTACTTGTTTTCTGCGTACCATCGTTTCATATTGTATCAACATTGACTCTTATGATTTACCAATATTACATTGAAATACTTACATTTTCTTCTTCTCTTTAAGTTACCTTGATACAGTTCTTTTTATTTGTTTCAAACAGCGGAATGCCATAAAAGTGATACATGTAGTATTATTTTCTTTGGTTCCATGCCGTGTTAAAGTTTTGGGTGTTCGTTCAAAGGTTTAGCCAGATAACACTGAACGGGCAAATTATTGATTGGTCAGGCTTTTCACCGTACAGATAGTTTCGTGTGAGAACTACGTGTGCATGCATGTTTGTGTGACTGCAGCAAACCATGGCATAAGAAAGCAATGTTGTGCACAAGATTAGTGTGCCTGTTCCGACAAAGCATTTCACTTTCAAGTATTTTTAATGATAATAAAATGGCCAGTTTTGTACAGCTGGACTCCGAAAGAGTACCGTCTCTGATATGACAAAAATTGAAAATTAATTTTGGATAACATTTGCAGAACTGAATAGCAGCCAATTTCTTTGAGTTACTTTTTAAACATGTACTTAAACATGTAGCAGGTAAATTACTTAACAGAATACGTTTTTAGTGAAATAATGTCGACGGTAAGACCATGGAGATATACGGCCCCACGAGAAAATGCACATAGCAAGGAAAAAGTTATTAAACGTACAACGTGTAGTTTGAAATTACGTTTGAAACACATTTCAATTACATTGTACGTGTTAGAAGCAAATTACTATACATCTGATAAACATGTCTGACAGAATTGTTCTGAACCTTTCAAAAACTCATTCATGTATAAGTTTGGTACAAAGACAATCCAATAGTATTGTATTTTTAATGGTAAGAAACTGAGTCAACTCATGGTCCACTGAGTCGCAATATACTGACATCGGTAATTTTACACACGTAAAACCCTAGAATGTCCATGAACAAAAAAATTAGCACTCACCTGTCTTACATCAGATATTCGATCAGCAGGATTCCTGGTGTTGTGATCAAATAACCTGCTCCAATCCAATTCCAAAGTGTTCTCATTCAACCATGCCCAAAGCAAGAGCGGTCCTTAAGAGCAATACGAATCGAACGATTCTCTGTCCTAGAATGAGCCCACCAGCTTAGGCTGCGACCCCGAAACGTTTAAAAATGCCGCGCAGGTTGGACCTTTCTGATGGACATGTTCGGTTGTTTACGTTCAGGGATGACTCAGCGCCGTGGCATCATGGAATTTCCTTCCTACCCTACTATAAGGCAATTGTACACATCGCCCAATTGGGGCTGCACCATTTTTGTATGTAGGTAGGTTCCCACCGTTAATGACTAAAGGTTTAAACCTAACACTTGGACCTTTTATATCGGTTTAGGTATTGCATCATCTTGCAAAACATAAAGGTTGACACAAACAGTGACGAAATCCCTAAAAAAAAGATCGTGCCTTCCTCAGAAGAAAAGACCATCGCCCCTTTTGATTACTTCAGGATTTATCCAATTACTCCAGCCAGAGCCACCCGCGGTCTGTTGTCCGAAGATAAAGCCCGTGTACATTACCTGCCGCCATGCTATAAAGGGACATTGTTTAGGAATTATCCCTCGATTACTTCAAGACCTCCCGGTGCTGGTGGGCGCCCAATCCGAGTGTACCATTTAAAAACGCCGCACGTACTGGGCCTTCCCGTTGGACATGGTTGGACATGTCCAGTTGTTTACGTCTATCGATGACTCAGCACTGTGACGTCACTGCAATCGCCCTCCGAGCAAGCAATAAGGCTATTGTACTCAGTGCCCAATTTGGGCTGACGTACCATATAATTTATCGTAGGTACATGTAGTAGACCCCCAAGTTTATAGACCTTCTACGTTTGTAGGGTACATATGCGTATACATGTATAACGTTCTTGTGATTGTACCGTACATGCATTTCTAACCGACATATATCCGGCCGGCCCACATAAGTATAGGCCATGAGTTAAAAATATGGCCCATCAATAATGTTCATTGTTTTAAGAGATATTTTATTTACTTTACTTTACAAGCAGTTTTGTACTTATTTCAAGACTTACCCGAGTTTACCTCGCTCTCTCGAGCAGATAATATCGATCACAAAGACCAAAAAACAAAATGGTACGTTCCTGTATATCGTGAACTTTCTCCCACACATTACCTACACCCCGTGAACAATGAACAATTCTCAATCCTCATTTTATGCTAATGAGGGTCACGTGGTACAAAATCCAGCGTTCTGATTGGTCGAGAGACCGTCATAGAGAAGGCAAAATATCCTGGTTAGACGGGGTGCACTACTGGCCTTTGATGGCAAAGTCATCCAGACCCTAGTCTCGATATTGTACAAAGGGATCATAGAGGAAATTGGAGTTTTAACAAAGAGCTTAACGCATGCACTTGTCTTGTCTTGAAGGTACGTTAATTCTCTGCGAGACATGGGCAGTGCAAAGACCTGTAACTTTAAAAATCAAATTTGTGGACCTATAATTGGCTGGATCAATTACCATTGTAGTAGACTTTCCCCTAAGTTACTCCTTTTGCTTCGAAAACTTTGGTTATATAGATTATGTAGTCTTCAGCGCTTTAACTAAAATTATGTCCCGGACCGTTATCTTACATATCAGTTCGAAGTTCTGAATCATCCAGGAGATAGCCCCTACATATTTTTTAAATCATCACACAGTTTACAAACTGACTGCTTTGCAGGTAAACTTTAATCCTTCATGCTTCCAGATTGAAATCATGTTGCGAAAAATGAAACAGCAAGAAAAGAAAGAAAAATCGAAAGGCCAGATTATCTTAAAAGTCATAGTCGGCGTTTTTATATAAATAAAGATATATTTACCGAAATAAGAATTCTTAAGAAGAATGCATAGCGTGGATGTGGTAGGGAAATGTATTTCTCTTCGTGCTTTAAAACACTCTCCAGGTATCATATACAGCCCAAAAGCTCATTGCAAGGAGGAGTCATTCTTCGTTTTTAAAATGCTTCGTTAAACATAACGCTTCCTATAAATTACAGAGCAACTGTCGACATTTAAACAAACAGGGTTGTCTTAACAAGACAGTTGTTTAGTTTGAGCTGGTTATGTCTTGTATTATGCTTCATTTCTACCGTGAGCGACCTGAAAGGAATTAATACGCTGTTGATGCGTTCATTTATCAGCTTAGGAGAAAGGTTGGATCGATTTGGTTGGATCGAGACAAGAGGCCGAAATTTTATTTTGAGCCAGCTAAGGCTTTCGGGGCATAATCCATTCCCCATGCAATGGGAGGTAAAATGGTTTAAACTAGGACCTGGCTATTCAATGTTCACGAACTGTCATGAAAGGAAGAAAATGCCATTTTACTTGATATTTATTTCGGCGAAGAAACCACCACCACTCATATCTTGGAATGAGACGGAAACATTTATTTGTTGTATAGCTGAATACGCCGATGGCAAGACGTTAGCCAGGTCAGTGTCTGCTTTAGCAGGATTCATAAATCTCCTCGATGCTGCATCCTTCAGTGCAGCATTCGTGGTGCAAACCTCGCTTTCCAATACCACGTCCGAACAAGAATGTGCTGGCGTCCTTTGAATCCAGAAACTCTGCATCACAGGTGAGGAGACAACAGAAGTGGCACGATGATTTTGTTTTCACCCAAAATAATTCTGTCTTTTTATATGTTACTGTGGTGTTTGCTAATTGTTAAGTGCTGTAGTCACATGAGGGCGCTATTCATGTTGTCCATGAATCGCTTGGTACGTTGCCGTGTAGTAATCTTAGTATTTTGGACATGCTATGCGGACACGAGAGATAGTGCCAGGTTTAATAATGCATTCATTTATAAAATGTTAATGGCTTGGTTATGTGAGTTACAGATAAATGCAAATGGTAGATATTTAACAGTCCAGATCGATTAATAGAGGGATTAAGTTGCAATCAGTTAAGCTCCGGTGCCCATGAATATACGTGTAAATTGGTCGTTCGCGCCACAACCTTGGATCTCTTCCAAAACTTCTAGAAACTTTGTAGTCATCAGGTTCAGGGCCTGGAATGGTCCTTTGTATTTGCTGAATTGTACCAGCAGGGTTGGGGGCCCTAGGCTAGGGGCAGATAGGCTACATCGACTGGTGAGTTACATGTATATAGCAAGTTATGTAATAGCTGATATAAGGTCATAAAAGTGGCTGTATGTAGCAGGGTGCAAGTTTAATGTCAAATTTGCAATGTGGTGTGCACGTACGTGTACCTCCACCTTTGTTATTGTACATGTACATGTACAACATATTATTCATGACCTTGGAAATCTGCAGCATGTACATGTTACATCTTACGTTACATGTAGCACCAGCAATACTCTTCATTGATCATGGAAGTTGGACTCGACTCGAATCGAATTAGATTAGA